TGCCATCACCAGATCCAGACACGTCTCCTGCAAGTGTGAATCGTCAAGACCCTAGCCGACCAGGGCTCCCTGTAGACCTAGCCTCATTCTCGGAGATGGCAGCCCAAACCCTTGAAGAGTGAAAATTTCAGTGCATATACACTACACTACTTCGTACTTCGAACAAACAAATTAGTGCGAGTGTACGAAGTCCCAAGCAAGCAGTCCGTCCAAAGCAAGTACAATTTTTGGATTGTCCTCCGATGTACACAAACCACTGTGGGTCAGCTCGAGATATAGGATTGTATTACTGGTAGTTCCGTTTTTGAACAAATCTAAAATTTGATGCTATATCGTGCTGCCATCTTACCGCTTATGAAGTACAAATGCATCAGTACTCCAGGACGGGAAGATCCTCTTCAATAGGGGCAGGAGCTCTTGCTGACCAGGGTTAATGGAAAGGGTCTGTTTGGCCCACCCTTCCTCGTAAACCCGTGGTCTGGTGGAGAGTTCCTGCTTGGTCGAGTGCAGCTGCTCGAGGGGTTTAAGTGGGCTCAACCCCGGTGATGACAGCGGGCGAGCCTTCCCCAGTGAGAATCTTGAGCGAGTGTTCAATGGTGCTCGGCGCACAGTGCTGAATCTGTCATGCTCGTCCCAAGCAGTACTTCAGTCTCCAAGCTGCAGCACGTCTGTCAGTGTCCCTCAGTAGTGCCAACCTCTAGTTTCCGAATCAAGAAGCAACCCCCTGACCACTTTGGAATGGGCATGCGTACCGAGGTACTTCGTACCTTCTTTGGAAAGGATACTTGAGGGGTGTGAGGAAGGAGTGGGTTGTGCGACGTTCTGGTTGCACCTCTGTCGGGGGATTGTAATTTCTAGTCATCTGGACCTCATCAAAGCGTGGATTTACTCAGCTCATCTGGTACTAATACTACTAATACAACTAATTCTACTAAGACCATGAGAGATGGCCTGCAGCATTTTGGCACTAGTGTACGCTACTGCGATGCGTGGAGGGTCGCTCTATCCCTGGTAAGTGGATACAGGTGGTGCCGCCTTTGGTCGTTCATGTGTCGAAAACGGGGATTCAGGGTCTGTCCATAATACTAACGGTCACCCACCTTCTGGTCCCATATCCCATCCCATATCCTATATCCCATATTCCACATCCCACCACGCTGTGCTCTTACTTCGTATGTCATTCCTGCTCTTTCATACATATTACCAAGTCTGTTCCCCCCCTCCACTTGAGAATCCTGGTTTTCTTTCCTTTCGCTTCTTCTAAACCAACCAAGATTTGCATCCTGCGGTGTAGGTCTAGAACACAAACCATCGAGTTGCTGCGAAGCATCCGACGCAAGAAAGGCGGAGCACTACCCCTTGAGCACCCCACAGATTCACCTGCACGAGATTTATCGAGCCTCTCGCCGTCCATGTGCCCCAGATTAACAACGGACGAACTTGCCTGGAGTTGCCCTTGACAGCTTACCCAAAACTTGTTTGGCGGGTCGGTTCCCACCTTGGCGAGCCTCTCCTCGAACCTTAGAGCTTTGGATCGCGGATAGCCTAAACCTCGGTTTACGTCGCAGGTCATGCCTCGTCGCATGTGCTAACACTCAACGTCTTCCTTGAGTGTCCGGCGATTTTATTTACAATTCAAGTGGCACAGTCCTCCTGCGGAACAGATTTTAAGAGCTTCCCCGTTGAAGTTGAAGTGGTGTACAACCGGTGCTGAACCCCATCTCACGGCAATTACCGACCGACTACTGCTTGTCGTATGGTATCGTGCGCTGACTGCGGAATGCTCCCCTTCTCTTCCTCCCATGATCCAGCTTCCGACTTGTAACAATGGCTCGGACATCGAAATTCTCCTTTCCCCTCCCAAGCCGCAAGCAGCGGTCAACTCAAACAGCAACACCACAACCAGAGACGCCTCGGTCAAAGGCTCAACAGATATTAGGAAGTTCCGCGCTAAATGTCGACAATGGCGGCCACTGGGATAATACGTCGAACTCCGGAATTAGCATCGCTGTATCCGAGAGCACCTTGCGCCATCGCCGGAGCGAGAGGACCATTGGAGCTAGGAGCGAAGCCCCCTCGAGGTCTCGATCTCAATGGGAAGCGGACTCTGAGACGGTACCGGCCCACCTTCGAACCGTTGCCTCCCGGCCTGAATTGGGGCATTCAAACATGAACGGCAACGAGCATTCCGACCTTTCTGAAGTTTCGAGCCTGCGGGCGCGGAGACAGTCGGCTTCCACCGTCACGTCATACTATGACAAGTCTCGGGTCCCCCTCTCCATATCGCAACAAACCTCCTCATCAGCTATGGCCAAGGGCCTCCCTGCGAAGGCGAATTCTATTCTGGACATTGACGGCACACAGTCTTCCCCTAAGCGGAAGAAGAAGCCGGCTAGACTCGACTTCACGCATCTAATCCCGAAGTCACGGTCCCCGACTTCCCATCACCAGGGATCGATTGTTTCTCCCGAATCCATGACCTCCCCCGCCGGGACACCTTCCGTCATGTCTCTATCACCAATGCCGTCACGAGCCACATTATCATCAGTGACTTCGAAGAAGTCGACCAGAGAGAAGCTCCACGACCTCACTCATCGCGCCTCGCGGAGAGCCCCGCCACCTAACCCGACCCCCGTGCAGAAGGAAGTCAAGAGCGGCGTGGATCTGCACAATCTATATGAGCACTACGAACGAATGTCCTTCCGGCAAGTGATGGGCCCGGATTTTGACCACGAAGCTGTCTTGGAACCAGTTCGCGAGTCGCCTGCGGAGAATACCGCCCATGCAGCACGGCGACCTAAATCACTTGTGTCGAACCATCAGTTCGACCCCACCAAAGCGGCCTCACCCGGCAGAGTTCCCACCCTGCCAGACATCGAATATGCTACTAGCGTCTCTAGTCGGCATACGCGAACATCGAAGGCGTCTAAGCGAACGAGTCAAAGTGTGTTTGACTCGGACCTACACCAAACCAGTATTCTCTCCCTCTCCTCTGATTCGGAGGACGACGCATTTGCCGATTCTCGTTCCAAAACTGCTCCTGTTGCGGAAAGCGTTGGAAGCTTGCCACAAGAGGATGACTTCCTTACTCCATTTGCCGAGCGACGGCGATCGGTGGCATCCAAGTCAAGCGGGAAGTCCACTAAATCTGGAAAGCGAGCTTCCTTCGCACAGAAGAATACATATCTTACCATTCCCAGCGCATCCACGCCCCCTAGAGTACCGGATATCTCTAAGAGATCCAGCTCTTTGCTCCACGCCAAATCTCCCACCCCTAGCTCGTCCATCCGGTCTTCGCGCATGTCCATGATGTCCACTTCTACAGCCGCTTCAACCACCCACCAATCCGTGAAGGAGGTGCGAAGCACCACAGTCACTTCTACCCGTGTCCAAGACGACAACACGCAGAGACATTTCGAGGCCCATACTTTGACGCGCATGTCGTCCGTGCATTCCCTTGATCAGCCGACTCCACCTGTGAGTCCGAACTCCGTAGAGTTCTACGTCCGCCCACCGTCCATTCCCGGCGACTCATCTAATCCACGTCTGATGGCTGTCACCAAACAAGAGGAGATGCTTCTTGCTGCCTTACGTATAAAGCGTGCGCGAATGCGGGGCATCACTCTTTCCGAGCTTGAAGAAGAGGAAGAGGCCTATGCCGAGTCACTGGACCGCCGTGCTTCATCCCGCAGCAGCAGGGCGCGAGATTCGGCTTATGTAGCCCCTGTGAGGGCCATCCAAAAGAACGGCTCAAAGTCGTCAATGGGTACCATCGTACCCGAACATCGCGCTTCAAGCCGCTACGAAGCCCAGTCACTCTCCGGTACCCCAGAGTCATTCACGCAATTGCTTGACACGGCTGAACTATCCCCCAGGTCGGCGCGGTCCGATGATGCGCCTGCACAGGCAAATCAGGAGCAGGTCTTGCTTTATCTCGAACCAGGGGCTAGCGGAACCGAGGACGACGAGGAGCCGAGCCCTGATCTGAGCGACTTCATGGATTTCGACAACGGTAGCGAAGATGCGCATTCTTTCCGTGGACGCAGTAGCACTGGTCGCGATACCGATGACAAGCCTCCCCCGACACCTGAAGACACGATCCCTGTGGCCTCGTCGCTGAGTCCCAAGGAAGGGTGTGCTCCCGAAACGCTATGCGTCGTTCCAGAAGATGACATTACTGGTGGCGTCGGCATCCCTCGTCCGGATTCGCCTGTGTCTCCCACACTACCTCTCTCCTTCCCGATTCCTAAAAGCATGAGGAAGCCGCTCAGGCTCAGCGCCGTGGGAGGGGTATCTACCGGCATGGAGGCACCTTGGTGGGGAGATGACGGCTGATTGATTAGCTGAACTACCCCCCCAACTTTTCTTCGCTTCTTACACCTACTGTATTAATTTTTTTGAGTGCCATTTACCTTTCACATATGATATCCGGGGTGGGGATTCTTGATTTGAGGTTTACTTTCATCACAGCTGTCCGTCGACAACTTCCCTCTGTTATAATATTTCTTGGGCAAGATTTTTGGTTGGGGAGGAATTCTTCACTCTGGAGCTAGAGCAGCTCCCCCGACATGGCACTTGTAACGACCCGTAATGGATGACGACCGGATTTGATCACTGATATAGATCTATTTGTAGAGATATTTCTATATATACACTGAGTTTCCTTTGTGAACGTTTCTTGGGAATGTTGTTTGCCTTTAAGTGAGACTAAATCGCTAAAGTAATATGGGGATGTCATTGTCGTTGACGAGAACCCGTCCGGGGGCAACCCCTCAATAGCGCATACAGACCACGCTGAGGCTCTCCTTGAGCCTCGCTCTTGTTCGTTTTAACGATATCACTGGAATGCAAACTCATCTAGTTCTTTGCGCTGTAGAGTACGATGACCCCAGGAAAAAAAAAACGAAGAAAAGAAAAAAGTCATAACTACGTAGGCAAGCATATCGATATCTCATGCTCCATCCAGCCATGTATAAACGCCGGCCCTCTCTTTAACCGATTCAAGAATTTTCATACACAGCGCCCTCGGGGGGTTGCGGGATCTTCTTATTCGTAGGAGAAGCCATGTATCTGTACGAAATGCCCGTGTTAGTGCCCTTGAAAGTGGAGGCCACAGTCATTGCGGGGACGCGTATCCCTCCTTCTACATACCTCCTCAACTCTATTAGGACAGTCTCCATGGTGTGGTTTCTCTGCCAATTGGCGAGGCAGGGGAGTTGCTTGGGGTCGACGATACCGTTGCGAGGATTGACGCATGGGAGGTTGATTTGGCTGACGAACTGGATCGTGGGGGGCTCGTCAGGGTAGGCGGGGCCGCAGTGCATCCTCACGGAGTAGATACGGTTTTCATGGACACTCTAAAGGAAGGCGCAAAAGGAGTGGGGGTTAGTATGCCTCGGCGAACGGCGGGGTGTATAAGCAGGTATAACAAGGCTGAAGCGTACGTGAGGGGGGCCGAGAATCGTGCCATTCCAGTTCGACATGAGAAGATCCTCAGGATCCTCAAGACCGTAGGAGCAAGCCTCTACCGCGGAACAGACTTGTCAGCGAGTTTGTGACGCAAAAAGACACCAACCACAGGGGCGCCTTCAAGCAACGGAGTCATCTCGAAGTGGGGGATTGGGGAAAAAGGGCACGATACCTGCTCCGAGACCCTTCTCGCCCTTCTCTAGCTCCTCAAGGAGCCTGAAGTTCCTGGGAACCTTGGCCGCCATGTCTAAGCTCTCCTGCGACACCGGGAGAATTGGTGTAAAATGTATGGCGAGGTGCGGGGTGAAATTGACGAGAGGTTGTATCGCGGGTTTTTAACAGACTGGAGGGGTGAAGTGAGCCTGGGGCAGCGGGGAAAGCAGTGATAAGAGATGTTTCTTTGGGCGCTGGACTGCGTGCCTTGTCCATCGCGGGGCACTTCGGTTAATTCCTGGAAATTTTCGCGACAAGCGGTGGAAGGTTCCTTCCCGACCAAAGGCCAAGCTTGCAAAGGACCTTACGTAAGGCTGAGAGCTGCCTGCAAGGGTCAGGTCAGTCGGTCAAATCATGCAGTTCAATCACAGTCATTGAATTTGGGATGAGCTCGTGCTCGGATTAAAAAAAAAATCAACACATTGTCTTCCAAACGTCATACAATCTAACCCCGGCTTTTCATCTCTCCCCATCCTCCTCCCTCCCCCTAAGACCCCAGCAAAACGGCGTCCGATATGGCGTCGGCACTAACCAGAGCTGCCCTGTCGGTGCCGCTGCGCCAGGCCCAGCAACCCTTTTTGCAGCTGGCAGCGCGGCGGACCTTCCTCACGACGGCACAACGAGCCCTCACAGCTCCCGGACCGGGCGGGCCCCTCGGCGGCGTCCCCGCGACATATTTCCAGCGACCTTCGTTGCCGGCTAATACGATTGTTCGATTCGTGCCTCAGCAGACGGCGTGGATTGTGGAGCGCATGGGAAAGTTCAACAGGATACTCCAGCCGGGTCTCGCGATTCTGATTCCGTTTCTCGACCGCATTGCCTATGTTAAGTCCTTGAAGGAAGTGGCACTTGAGATTCCTAGCCAGAGTGCGATTACGGCGGATAATGTGACTCTTGAGCTTGATGGTGTTTTGTATACGAGGGTTTTCGATGCCTACAAGGCTAGGTGAGTTTTTTTTTTTTTCTTTTTTACCTCGGTTGGGGCCGGAAAACCACATGCACAGAGAAGAGAAAAGTAGCCGGGCAATTTCTTCGGACGCCGACTAACAAAGAAGAAATGTAGCTACGGAGTCGAAGATGCTGAATACGCCATATCCCAACTCGCCCAAACCACGATGCGATCCGAAATCGGCCAGCTCACTCTCGACCACGTGCTCAAGGAGCGAGCAGCCCTAAACACCAACATCACGGCTGCCATTAACGAAGCCGCGCAGGCTTGGGGTGTCACCTGTCTCCGATATGAGATCCGCGACATCCACGCGCCCGCGGGCGTCGTCGAGGCCATGCACCGCCAAGTCACCGCCGAGCGATCGAAGCGAGCCGAGATTCTCGAATCCGAGGGTCAGCGGCAGTCGGCAATCAACATCGCCGAGGGTAAGAAGCAGAGCGTGATCCTGGCGTCCGAGGCATTGAAGGCGGAGCAGATCAACCGCGCGTCTGGTGAGGCTGAGGCGATTCTCATGAAGGCGAAGGCTACGGCTGCGGGTATCGATGCCATTGCGAAGAGTATTGCTGAGGGAGAGGATGCGGCGAGGGGTGCCGTTAGCTTGTCGGTTGCTGAGAAGTATGTGGATGCGTTTTCGAAGCTTGCTAAGGAGAGCACGGCGGTGGTTGTGCCCGGAAACGTCGGTGATATCGGTGGCATGATTGCTACGGGTCTTAGCGTGTATGGAAAGGTTGGAGAGGCACAGGCGAAGACTATGGCGAGGAAGTATTTGCAGCCGGGTGAGGGTGAGGAGTTCCAGCCGGAGGAGGAGAAGTCGATGAAGGATACGATGCTGGAGGGGTTCGAGCAAACGGCTAAGCATTGAGAGGGGGAAGTATTATGAACGGGTGAATTCGGGAAATCGAGAAGCAGGTTGATGATAGAGGGAGCATCGGCGTTGGAACATCTTTCTTCTTTCCTTTTTGTTTCCTCTCTTATTTTTAGAAACACTCTGAAGCTCCGTGTCTCATTATGTGTATAACATCTCAACTTCCCCTATTATTGGGAGCTACTTAGGAATATTTACTGGCAACCAAATTTCCACCCTATAGTTTTGTCCAGCAGCAGCTCTGTGGAACCAATTAGTCTTTCTTCTCTTTGGCGTGACGTCGACTTCGGCTGAGCTGGGAGCTTCAAACGTGGGGAGCTTGTGTGGTTATTCTGCATTGGGAAGGCGGTCAGAGATTCTGCCGGTCTCATCTCCATCATCACCAGGCACCATACCAAGAGTTGCTTCTATCCAAGAACTACATGAACCCCTGGACTTTACGGAAATTCGTCGCGAACCGATAAATTCAATACCTTTTTTTTTCGCCATAGTTACACGCGGACCTAATCTATCATTCCGTTCGACTGTGCCGGGGACTAAGGGGGTACCTAATATGGCCGCTGGCCCGGATGCTGGGACAAGATGACAACTCAGCTATTGGCGTCTGAACTGGCCAACCTCATCCAAGAGAGCAAGAGGAAGCATAATGACCTTCGGCAGGTATGTTATTTTAAACTTAATTATCAAACTCACATATTTGCAAGACAATGTATACTGACACCTCTCGAAGGCTGCTGAGAAGTCGTTGGAGGAGCTGAGGAGCATCAAGGGTGCTACGGAAGCTCAGACAGCCACTGGTAAGCCTACCTGCGGGAGCCGTTGCCCATCTCGGCCGCCCCATCCTCTTCACCTGTAAATATTGACCTACTTACTTACAACACTTAACCGCCTTAAGAGCTCAGCCAGCGTGCGAACTTTGTAAACCCATTCATCATCGCATGCGGCACCAAAAACGTCAAGTTCACCGGCATCGCCATCGTCTGCCTCCAGCGCCTCATCGTCGCCAAAGCACTCCCCCGAGGTAAATTGAACCAGGTACTCGAGGCGCTCAGGGAAGCTACCTCGGCGGGGCTCGATGTCCAGTTAAAGATCCTGCAGGCGCTGCCGTCGCTGCTTCAGAATTATTCCGTGGACGTTAAGGGTGATATGCTTGTCACCGCGCTAAACATCTGCTTTATTCTGCAGGCGAGCAAGAATGCGATCGTGAATAATACGTCGGCGGCTACGTTGCAGCAGCTTGCTGTGTCTGTGTTTGATAAGGTTGTGGTTGAAGACAGTAGGTAACCTTGGACGAAAGGCCCTTTCTCTTTCTTCTTGGCGCTGGAATACGTGCTAACTTCCTGTGTCAGAATCACCGGGCGATACGCCTTTCGTTGGAGAAGCTCCGACGGAAGATGGGACTGTCCAGCTTCGAACTGCGGCCCTTGATGCCTTCAGAGTTCGTCGCGCACTTATATCGCAAGGAAAGAGCGTCAGGCTAACTCTATTTGCCAGGTCTTCAACGATCTCTGCCTCATGACAGAGAACCAACGCCCAGAGTATCTACGCTTCACAGGGCTTCCGCAAACATTCGGCCTTGAACTCATAGAATCCGTTCTTACGAATCATGCGTCCATCTTCCTAACTCACCCAGAGCAGGCGCACATCCTCCGGACCAGGGTGATGCCATTCATCATTAGCGCTCTAAATCATAAACCCAATTTTGCGACATCTGTTCGCCTGGTCCGTATTCTATACACCCTTCTCCGCCGCCATATCAGTATCTTGCCCTCCGAAAGCGGACAGGCTCTGGATATCCTTACTCAGCTCCTCGACCAGGACGTCCCGCTTTGGAGAAGAGCTCTCTGTATGGAAGTTTTCCGGGGAGTATTCACCGAACATGCTTTGATGAGACGCATATTTTACCTCTACGACATGAAGGAGGGAGAGAAAGATATCCTCAAGACGCTGACGGCGACTTTTGTGCGTCTGAGCACGGAGAAGCCGAGCGTCATCGGGCTTGGCCATCAGTCGACCATTCCAGTATCCAATCCATATGTAGGTACTGCGGGGGACGTTATGCTGGAATCTGGAGGAGTTACAGGTATCATTAGTGGGTCTGGTCCATCCGAGGGAGGAAATACCGGGATCAGCACGCAATGGAGCTCCGTTCGGGTGCCGTGCATCGACCAGCTGGACAAGACGGAACCACCGGCGATCCCTGAATCCTACATCTATAACCTAACTCTTGCCTGCATCTCGTCACTCTCAGAAGGGCTTGCCAAGTTTATTCTGCCCTTGACGGTTCCTGGGGAACGCAACCGCAAGAAACTCGCAAGGCAGGACACCGGTAGGGCGTCTCCGGCGCCAGGGGCCAAGGAAGAGCAAGCCGAGTCGAAGGGATTAGAGCGGACACCTTCCTACAAGAGGAACCCCGTCCCCATTAACCCCCTGAAGCACGAAGACCATCCACAATATACAGAAGTCAAAATCTGCGCTGCCATCATTGACGAATGCTGGCCAGCTATCCTGGCTACTTGCTCAACGTTCCTCAACGCCGCGCTCGACTCGGAGTACTATCACGGACTTGTCCGAGCCTTTCAGAAATTTGCCCACGTTGCGGGACTTCTGCATCTCAATACGCCTCGAGACGCATTCCTCACGACGCTCGGGAAGGCGGCTGTACCGCCGAACGTTTTCACAGCCTGCCTAAACATGGGTGCAGCTCGGCCGAGCACCCCTACAGGTCCGGACTCCGCGGGGGGGCTTCTTAGCAATGCCAGGGGCCTTCTCAGTCGGGAGAGTCTCACGCTACATCCCCAGCCTACGGAGAAAGGCCGCCAACCCTCCTTGGATCCCACCCAAGGAGCCTTGAACACTCGCAACCTTCTTTGTCTGAGGGCTTTGCTCAACCTGGGTATTGCGCTCGGACCTACCTTGGGAAGCTCGTGGAGTATAATCCTGGAGACGCTGCAGCAGGCTGACTTTGTTCTATTCTCCTCCGGTAAGGTGCCGGGGAAAATACCCACTGCCATCAAGGGACAGGACCCTCAGGCCGAAAACGAGGCGCATGCGCTGCTTGGAAACTTTGGCGGCGAAATTAGGGCTGTTGAGACGGCTGTCTCCAGGCTTATTGAAAGCACTGTCGATTTCCCCAACAGGTCGTTTGTCGAAGTGGTCGAAGCTATCTGCAATCTGTTGGAGCGCGGCCAGACTGAGACGCCAAGCTCTACTACCACCGCTCAAACCTCATCGCCGCCTCCTACCGGTAACATGCTCAAGACTCCTGGGGCCGGCCAGCATCGCCGCGTCCTTAGTATTTCAACGCCGGCCACGGCAGGCCCCACGCAGGAGGACATGTTAGCTCTCGGCAAGCTCGGCGACGTCGCCACCGTCAATATCGAAAGGCTACTCTCATACCCTCCAGAGGTTTCTGGTTGGACCCCGCTCACGACGGAACTCATCAGGGTGCTGAACGCAGCTGGGATGTACGCTTCCGTGAGGACTAGAGCAGCGGAGATTCTCGTCCGTCTTGTGCTTGAGGCTGCGCATGTCGCTGGTACCCTTGAGGAAGACGCCCGAGCTGGTGTTCAGCTTCGGCTTCTGGAGGCCTTGCGTGATGCGTTAGTTCCCCTTCAAGCAGAGGACCGAGATGTCTCTGTTGCGAACCACGGGACTGATGTCGAGATCCACAAGATCATTCTTGACGGCTTGAAGAGCATGCTCGAAAACTGTGGGGAAGCACTCGTTAGCGGTTGGACCATCGCGTTTGACATTATCGGCTCCATTTTCGTCTATAGGAAGTTTGGCGTGCCTGAGCGTCGGGGAACTCAACAGTCGGTGCTCATGACGAGGTCGGCCAAGCTGATCCGGCCGTCGTTTAATTCTCTTGAGCTCATCTGTTCGGACTTTTTGGCAGCTCTTCCCAACTCGTGTTTCCTTAGGCTCGTGGATACACTCTATGAATTCTGCACTCAGGGTGACGACTTAAACATAGCATTGACGGTACTTTCATACTCTCCCTTACCCTTTTTTTTTTCGTGGTCTCGCGTGCCCCTATTAACGTATGATAGACTGTCACCTTTTTCTGGGTGCTTTCGGACTTCTTATCGGGGAAGAACAAGTCGCTCTCGATTACTTCGGAGCTAATGCAGGGAAGAAATGCATCCGACTTGGCAGAAATGGCATCTGATCCTGAACAGTCGGCATCGGATGCCGCATTGTGGATGCTTCTGTTACTTCGCCTTACGAAAGTAACTGCTGATGCCCGTCTCGAACTGAGAAATAGTGAGTCTTGGATTAGCCCCAATACTTCAGAACAACACGATGCTGACCATTGACCTTTTTCCTAGGCGCGATTCAAACCTTGCTTCGAATTTTCGACGCGTATGGGGACCGCCTTAGTTCCGAGGCATGGTCGATATGTATTAAATCAGTTCTATTCAAGCTGTTGTCTTCCATCGAAGAGGAATTGGAAGCGGCAAACGATGATGATGCGGACGATCGAGATAGGAGCGAATGGAACGAGACAGCAGTGGTTGTTCTGAACGGAATCTCGACTCTTGTTGCTAACTACTTGGATGCCCTGACGCAGCATCCTTCTTTCGACTCACTGTGGAAGGAGCTGATTGGGCACTTTGGAAAGTTGCTCGACTTTCAGATTCTCGACATCAATACGGCCGTTTTCAATGCCTTAGGGAAGATACTCGCGCAGACACGAGACAGCTCTCCGGCTGCACTGAGTAAAGAGAGCATCGATCTCTCTTGGGGCCTGTGGAGCAGGGGCATTCCTGTGGCAGTAGACGAGGAAGAGTCGAAGCAAGACAATCAAAACTGTCTTCTTGCCTACGTCTCGGCACTGGAGGATGTGTATCGGCTGATCGATGCCGATCTCACCGTTGAGAGAGTCGACACCATGCTCAAGCTACTTCGGGAATCAACGCAGTACGCGACAACAGGCGCCTACGTCGTCGACGTGGAGTACATGACGCCGCTCCAATCCAAGATCTTAGAAGCCGTGCGCCGCATACGCGTCAACCTTCCGGGCGTGCCAGCAGTGGTGCTCACTAAGATCGCCGAGTTCATCGCGATGGCATTCGAAATAGATCCTAACAAGCCCGCACAGTCATCTCCCAAGAGAACTTTCGTGGCAATGTCCAAGACGAGCATGGGGATTCTACAGGATCTTATCCTGAGCAACGCTACGGACGAAGAGATTTACATAAGTAGCGCATACGTCTCGGCGCTTAGCACGCTTGCGCGACCCATCACTTTGAAGTACAGCTTTCCCATAGTTACGAGGTCAGTTCAGCCGTGGAGGCTTGCGACCAGCACGGCCTTGGCGGTCTTAGAAGGCACACTTCCGCAGCTGAAGAACCTCGACAACATACCCAGCCAGATGGTGCAAAATATTTGGCAAGAGATTGTCAAGATTTCCAACGGCATCGTCAGCGCCGAGTGTCACCGAGCACCTGAGGACGGGGTCCATGTGGCCGCAGACGAAGTGTTCGACGTCCAGTCCTTCCTGAAGCTTCGGGATCTCATCATCCCCTCTCTCGGGGCGGAGGTGATCTCGGACAAGACGCGGAAAGCATTCGCGGAGAGTCTCTTCCGAACATCCATCATCCACCAACCATCACCCGAGGAAATCAAGCTTCTGTCAAACAGCAGCGGAGATGCACTTGCCACCTTACTCCACAAATCCCGCCACGGCCGCACAGCCGTCTCACTACCAGCCAAGCGCACACGAATGAGCTACGTCTGCCTCGACGAACTCTTCTCCCTTATCTCAGCACACGACGAAGCGGCGACGACCCCCTCCATCGTCGTCCAACCCCCAACGCCAAAGTTTCCCCGCGACGGCGCCACCGGCCCAAGAGAAGCCCCCTCCGCTCTCCACGTACGCATCGCGCGAACGGCCGCGCCCTACCTCATTTTGCGATCGGCACTCGTCCTTAGAGCGTACGTGGCGGACCAACCGCTCCGGGGTCGCATGCCGCAGCCGCTCTCGCAGCGGAAGGAGTTACTGCATGTGCTGAGACGGTTGGCGGATTTGAAGTCGGAGAGCGAGGCGATACCGGACACGCCGAACGTGGATAGCGAGAATAGGAAGCACTTGTTGAGGGTGTATCCGCTCTTGGTGGGGGCTGCTGGGGTTGCCGGACGGTGTGGGGATGAGGGTGTTTTGGGGGTGTTGGGGGAGGCGCTGAAGGTCGTTGGAGGGGAATTGGGTGTTTGAGATGGGTATGATAGTATGATGGTATCGCGAAAGAGCTTCTTTTAATGTTAAACCAATCCATTGTCTCGGTAACTATCCATGTTGAAATGTTCAGATGATAAGAGAGAAGCCAAACTCGAACCATCACAACAGTCTCGGCCGTACCGATCAACACGGCCATCAGAAACGGCTTCAATACCTTGGCGTTTCCTGGGCAATTCGAGGACATCGATTTCTGGGATGATGTCGCTCACTTGCCATCTGCAATGTTGATAGATCTGAGTGTCACTGGTTGTGAGGCTAGGCTTCTAGTAAGAGTTCAGAAATGCCCCCCCCCCCCAAACATGAGAAGCATGACCTCTCTGACAAGTTAGATATCTGTTCGAAGCCCATAGGGAGAGACACGGGATAAGTGCCCGGCTATCAGCATGGGGAGTACGTTCATTCAGTACTCAGTACACGAGTTCCAGGCATCCTCAGCGTTTGCTTGGGCCGCCCAAGCCTTGACTCGGCGTTTTTATTTCTATAGCTCTTTGTGACTACTCTTTTAACAGGAAATGCCATGACAGGCTAGCCCCATGTTGAGGATCGACAGATTCCGGCCGATTCCAACAGTCGCCTTGTCCCATTGAAGCTCAGCTACGATCCCGGTATGAGAATGCCCATTACCTGTTCTCAATGTCGTGCGAGCGATACTCAATCTTTCAAGATATCTCCTCTTCATCTACATCCCGCGTGATGCCCCGCTCCATTTGCCTCTAGAACCCTCTCAGGCGAGTAGTGGCGCCTTTTTTTCACCGTTATCGAGATCCCAAAGGCCAATCCGAGCTTGTCTAGCATTTTGGGAAACAGCTGTAGGCTCGACTAGGATTCGGTTTGTCCAAGATCTTGAGGCAAGCAATGCGTCAACTCCATCTTGGAAGTGAAAAGCAAGAACTAACATGGATAGATGGGAACATCCGATCCCGCTTTGTGGTTGCTAAAAGCCCAGAACTGCGCCTGGCTCTTCTCGAGCTTGACCGAGAATAACGAGTATAAAAGACAAGCCTTCTATTTGACTTACAATCAAGTCTTCTCCAATATTGAGACATGGACTGAGTTTATTCATTGCTGGAAGTGTGTAGTCTCAGAAACTACGGCAACCACCCGGAAATCATGAGCATCATGGGCCTCAAGGGAATGCGGTGTATTTTGCATCCTCGCAGTCTCCAAAGCACCAAGTGCCGCTGCGTATTACTCTCCAACGCAAGGCTCCCCAATTCACCTGGCATCGCATCCTCAACCCAGAAACACCACGGGTAAGCAAATAGAGAGCTATCTACATCACCAGAAAAAAGACGTACCGTAAACCCATTGATCCATCCTCCGTTTTCTGCGCAATATATCCCTCTCTCTCGCCCCCAACCCACATGATCGCAACAAAAGCTACTCCGCATCCTCAGGTTCCGGGAGCCTCGAGATCCCACCGCCGCGATCAATCCGCTTTCCCCACACCAGGGATCCGATATTAATCCCTTCCTTCTCCCCTCCCGGTGTCCTCAGAGAAGTCAATCACAAAGACAAGATAAACGCCAGCTCGTAAGTAATCTAAAAAAAAAAAAAAAAAAACGAAGCTGCTCTATTTCGCAGCGGCGGGGAAGAAGACCACATGAGCCCATCGCGTACCAAAAACACGCCTTCCGTTTCTTCCCTACTTCACCCTGCTTCTTCAGCGTCATACCCACCCACCATCACCGCATTAACAGACAAACAAGCTTCCCCACATCTGCCCCTCACGCACCCCGGGGCTCCCATCTCCTACCCCGTATATCACCAAGACCAGACGAGCGCATTGAGTAACACACCCCCTTTCGCTCTCGTTCCTTAAAGTGTCAGAGAAGACCCTGTTAGATGGAGCTTCACGACGTGCCCCACTTTCCCTGGTGAACCGTCCAAAATGTTGTCACAGACGAACCCAGGGAAAGGGTCATGACATGTTTATTGAGTGGGGCTCGACGGGGGAATTAGAGTGAAGAGCAATATTGCACGATATAAACTGTATTAGGGTCACGGGTAACATGGGGAGCATGCTTGCGCGGGGAAACACTCGAGAATTATGCAATAATGATGCTTGAAATGTGTAAAAAGTGGGAATGTTGGTAAAGTTGCCTTACATATGCCTGGGGTTGTTCACCTTATTCATTGCCCCAGTAATAAGGAGACATAAGGAAGCCTCTGCCTGATCAGATCTTACGACGCTATATTCGGCCAGTGTTATAATCGGGTTCCCTCACCCAGTTTGCGCCACCAAAACCACTCGGCAGAACGGGAAGTTGGAGCTTGCCACAGGCTTACTGTCTCCTAATAGCGAGATCTTGTCGCCATCACGGCAAGGAGAAAGGAAGCGACATACAGGTGATGGGGCGAGTCTCTTGAAAAAAAGGACATTATCCCATGAGGAGGCAAGGGTATCAGATGTAAACCTTAGCTTGTTAACGACCTGGCAACACGAAATTCACCGCCGAATTGTAGCTCCTTGACAGGCGGGATGGAGCAATTATGAAGTAAGTAATCTGCCAACCTTTCAGAGCCTTCAAAGCTCTCAGAAGGGGTGAGAGAAGACATGCACCAGGCGATGTAACGGCGGGATAGATGTCACGCTGTGGTGAAAGGGTGTGCTGGTGTGGGTGGCACTGCGCTCTGTCATTCCTCCCCGAAGGGTGTGTTCGTCCGTCCAAGATTCTGACCGCGGAATGAGACTATTACTTCGTATGCTTGAGGTCTATGTTTCTTGACAGGTAACTCGCGTGGCTCATGTGTCAGTTGAGAGTACGAAGTGTTGGCCCCACGCCCAACTTCTCACGTCTCGCTCTGCGTCTTCAAGTTGTGTTCATATGCAGCCCATTAGCATGTTGATATCTCGTGTCATGGCCTACCGAATAAGACACGACGACGCTCCTCAGCCCCAGAATCAAATATAAGAGGTGGAGTTTGAAGCCGCACAACGCTTATATCGTAATCCAAGAGTACAAGTGAGAGCCATTCCGCTCTTGATGTGATCTGCTCAGGAGGTCAATAATATTACAACATTAATCACCGAGATGAAATTTCGCTAATTGCTGGAGACTTGTTGCCTTGAAGATATGTGTTAGAAATCTGGTCACACTAATCCCACGGCAGCCGAGTCCAGAACCAGCGATAAAATTAGAAGCTGGCCAGGCATTAGCGGCCAGGCGATCAGGGCACCAGTCGATCAATGGAGCGCTTCGGGCGACCCTGGAGATTACACTTGTAGTCGAGTGCCCGGGGCGGGCTTGGACGGGCATTACCATTTCTTCCTTGGAGAATGCCTTGGTCGGGGAATTGATGAAGAGTACTTCGTACCCTCGTTTCCTTTACAAAGGAGGTGTGACTCTTCGGGAGCCCGCCCGCCCTGTCGCTTGCCAGGAATAGCATCTGCGGTAGGTATGCAATCTGTGCAGGTGAAGATGAAAAAAGGAACTGTTTTCGGAAATCGTGGCATGCACCCCCCAATATCAAAGTGTATGTTAGCCTCTTTTATGAGGATGAAGCAGAGAGCGAACTCGAGAAAATTAAGCCCCGTGCCCTCCGCCGTTGCACTATTAGTACTGAGTACGTTGGTCGGGAATAATCGAGGGAGAATTAAATTTGAAAAAAAAAAGAAAAAAAAAAAAAAAAAAGGAATATAAAAGAAGACAACGAAAAGGGAGAAAGAAAAAAAAAAAGCTACAGGGGGTTTTAGGCTGTAAAGAGGACAAAAGTTCCTCCAGGCTACGTCGATGCCCCATTGATAGTGAGTATGTTCTCACTTACTTCGTACGTCGTACACTAAACGGAGGAGGCGTGGGGATGCTAGCGTCGCAGTGATAAGACATCGTGCGAGTGGGACGGAGTGCCAGGTAGTGCTCGAAGGTTCAATGTTGTGCTACGCGGCTCGCTATGTCGAGGCCTTGCTGACCAGGCCATTTCCTCGTCTTGGACAGACAACTGCACGCTAATAATAATGACTGCGTCTCCCTGCGTCAGAGGCTCCATCCCGTACGTATTGGGTGGAAGATGTCTTGCACTCTCTTTGGTTGGAAAGGTGAAGGCCGGGACTCACCTGAAGCACATATTGCATCTAGATTGTTAGCACATTAACTTGGTCCTCAGAACCCCGCCGAGTGGGCGCAGGATGGGTATATAACTGCTGAGATATAGACCTCCCAAGGCTCCCTCGACATCCCTCCCATCCCTCCATCCTCACGACCCCTGTTCAAGGCGATGTTGAAAATGATAGTGACACGCCCCGAGTTTGAAGTGAGATTGATGAGAACAATGAATGAAAATATGAAGCAACCGTAGAGACGTCAAAGATGTGCCTATGCCCGTCGCTTTCCAAGAAAGGGGGTGGCCATTGGCATCGAGCCGTTTTGTCGGGAGAGTCTGGTTGATAGAGAGGGTTGGTTGATGGACGTGCTGCCTGTCTGCCCACTGCGAAGCCAACTGTAACTAAACCACTTCGTAGTCCTTCGCAAAGGAGCATTGAACCATTGACGAACAATTCATTGTTTCTGCACGGTCCCGTTCAATACGTCTTCAACTGTCATAAGACCACGAATGGTAAGCTCCGGCATTGCTTGGGAAGAAGGTGCCACCCAAACTGCCCCACCCCACCAGATCGGGAAAGAATCGGTAGCTTCGCTGCCGCACTTGCAGGAGCGTCTGTTGTCACTCTTGGGGCAGTTCGGCCACTATGTTTCCTTATCGAATCAGGAAGCCGCTAGATCCCTCCTGTGCCAGAAATGGCAAGGGCAGGTCGCACGAGCTCTCGACGACAGCATGACAGGTGTCGTCCATCACCCTGTGGGTCTGGCCTTAGGTAAGTTTACCTGGCGAGGCGGTCGCAGAAATGGTCGCATATTCCTTCCGAGAATTCCTATTTGGCTTCCTCGTGATCTCACATGCTGTCTATCTGGTCATGCAGAGAAGGTCCACTATCTAATCTACCTACGGAGTAAACTGCGAAGTATAGTTTACAA